ATTTTAATTGGACGATCAATTTCGGAAATTTTCGGCAATTATGAAAATTTGTGTAACAATTGACGTTCCCTCCTGTTGCTGAAGCCAACATAGTAAAATATATTATACCGATACCGATACGGACATTTATACCGTATATCCTTAAAGCAGAAAAATAATGGTTACCATCCGTAATCAGTGTGACAAGTTGAGTACATGCATGTTTTTAAATTATACTGCTATATACTAAATTGCGTGTATCAGTACCAACATTTTTTTTATTCACGATTTTGAATTCAAAAACCAAGGAATGGATACACACATCCCTTCTCGACCCGTTGATCGTGAAAAAGCAGAACACGATCTTTCAATCAACATAAAAAAGGCCACGAGCCCTGAGGAAACTGCTCCAAAACAGAAACATGTTCGAAGTGAGTACATAAAATTAGCATAGTCTTTTGATTCTTTATTAAATAAGTCGATTTTCAACTACAGAATGCATTGTATATACATGGGATTATCATACTTCGGAGTCGATTTGGACTGGGCTTAAAGTTTTGCCAATTTTAACCGATGAAGTACAAACTTTTAAAGCTTTAATAAGCGTTCACAAAATTATTCGAGATGGTCACCCTTCTGTATGCATGATTTTCAGTTACATCATTGATCGTTCTTTAAATGAGTGCTACCAAGTAGAAACCACTGTTTTAAAATTTTTAACGTTTCAGCCTTAACCTCGCAGAAATATCTGATTTTACCAAACACGATGAGAATTTAAAATCAGTACTTAAAGGTTTTTACTTAGCAGCACTCAATTCTAATTATTTGACTGACTGACTGATTGACATATAATATATATTTAAGGCCTTGAAAGAAGCACTAAATCAAACTAACTGGCTTGACTCTTGCTACCGTTCTATCAATGGAGATGGTGTGCGAGGTATCAATCCTTAGCTTTTTAAATATTATTATTACCATTGTATAAAGTCAAATTAATGAATTAATCGATTAACAGGTTATGGTATACTTATTCGTAAATATGTCGAATTTCTCAAGGCTAAATTGGATTATCACCGCCATCATCCGGAATTTAATGGAAATTTTGATTACGAAGATTATATTAGTTTAAAAAATGTGGATGACCCTAATGAAGGGTAAGCGTAACTTAACTATCTTGTTTAATCAATTTTCATTGAAATTTAATTTCAATGCCTTGACTTTAGATACGAAACCATCAACGACTTGATGAATTTACAAGATCAGATCGATTCATTTCAAAAATTAGTTATTGCACAATTTCGAGGTTTATCCAATAACGAATGTCGTATAGCTTCTCTTGTGCCATTAGTAGAAGAGAGCCATGGCATTTACAAATTTTTAACCAGCATGCTTCGAGCCATGCACAAACGCACCGATAATGTAGATGCATTAATGCCTCTTAGAACTCGATATAATGCACAGCACTATGCTCTATTGAAGTTCTATTATGACTGCTCTAATTTGAAATATTTGACGAGCTTGGTTACCGTGCCTAAGCTGCCACAGGTTTGCATAACTGTGCATTATAAGGTTTCCTTGTCGCTGTAGTTAACGTAATTATGTTTACCTTAACATAAAGGACCCCCCTACTCTAATCGACAATAGTGTACCACCGCTACCGAAGCGTCCTCAGTCAAAATCACCCGCACCATCATCTTATTCAGAACCTGAACCTATAGCAGAATTCTGGAAAGAAAATGAGGCTCAAAAACAACAAGAGCTAGAAAGACAAAGACAATTATATGAAGAACAACAAAGGCAACTTATGCAACAACGTGAACTTGAGCTTCAAAGACAGCGTATGACGGAAATGCAGCGGCAGAGAGAATTGGAAGAACAACAACGATTGCAGCAGGAAAGGGAAAGATTGGCCAGAGAGCAGTTACTTAGTGAACAAATACAAAGGCAAGCTGAGGGAAGAGTTGCTGAATTGGAAAGAGAACTCTTAAACAAGAGAAGTCAGGTTGAACGTGATCAAATGATGCTGGAGCAATATGACAGGGTATGCTATAATGAGGTCCTTATTCTAAGTGTATTTGGATAAATGTATTAATCTTTTTTTGATACACGTGATTTAGAGGGTTAAAGCTCTCGAAAATGAGATGAGCAAATTAAATTTGAATGCACAACAACAGATTAAATCCAAGGACGAAATGATTAAAAATTTACAAGGTTAGTTTACACATCATATTAAAATTTGATTAAATGTGCTTATATTTAATTATAAACATTTTCGTTCACTTAAAGATCAAATTCTAATGTGGAAGAATAAATACGAAGCTCTTGCTAAACTTTACTCACAATTACGTCAGGAACATCTTGACCTTATTAGTAAGTTCAAAGCCGCTCAGCTCAAAGCAAATTCTGCACAAGAAGCAATTGACAAGATGGAAAGAATGGAGCGTGATATGCGTTCTAAGAACCTAGAGTTGGCAGATATGATAAGAGAGAGAGATCGTGCAAGACATGAATTGGATAGATTAAAGAGTGTATGGTCTATTATATGGATATTTTTGTCATTGTCCGGAAATAGTACATATATTTGATTTTAGATTGACACATATATTTCATTTGTTAGAGCCAACGGGAAGATTTAGAGAGAGTCAGACGTGACCTTACAGAAGCGAATGCTAGGGCAGATGAACTTTCTCGTTCAAAGAGCAATGAAATTAGCTCATTGATGTCTAAATTTAACAAAGAAAAACAGGAACTGGAAGATTCGATAAGAGTATGTATCTATAATTTTGTTTTTGTATATATTTCATAACTTATTTCAGAAGGATTATAAGGTTTTATGGAATTTCTCTTTATAGTCTAAGCAATCATATGTCGATGATTTATTGAGACAATTGGAAGGCAAGAAGCATGAAATTGAACAAGTAACACAGGTTAGCTGTCCTTAGTACACATAACATGATATATGTACGCTAACTTTTTTTGTTTAAGTGCGCTAGTTCATGATGTCTGTTCATCAAATTTAAGTAATAAATATCTTTGAAATTGAAATAGGCAAAAGATGAAGAGGTTGCAATAATGCAAGCTGCGATGGATCAAAGTGTGATGCTTGTAGCACAAATGCAACAGGTTTAGTATCGAATAAAGTATTATATTATTGTATAAAACATGTATACATGCTCTAATTAGAATATTATCGTAAATTGAAACGTCTACAGTCCACATCAGAATCAGAAAAATATCAAGCTAGAATTGATAATTTGATGCTTGATAACTTCAGAAATTTGAATGATATTCTCGGTATGTTTAATCTTGATTACTGTAAAACCTTTATCATACAATATTGGATATAACGTTCTCTATTAAATCTTACAATCACAGACAGTATATTTCAAACATGTATTCAAAAGATTGATGATAGTTTGTATGAATTGGAGTCTCCAATGCAAGCCGGAAATCAGAATTCAACACCAGAGTATACTTTATCAATGATAGAGAAGGCGACAACTGAGGCTTTAGAATTCACCTCTTCTCTTAAAAAATTCTTACAAAGCGATCGGACGAAAGATCATACTGAAGTGATCAAGTCTGCTACAAATTTCTCACAAGCAATTTCTGACGTGCTGATAAACGCTAAGGGTACTATACGTCTTGCTGACGAAGACGATGAAATAACAGACGAAATTGTGCGAACTGCCAAAATGGCTGCAAATATGTCTCAGCAGTTCTTGTTGAATGTACAGTCGTTCAAGCTCGACAATTTGTCTGCATCACAAAGGCCTGAGGTGGTCATGCAAAGTGAGATGAATGTTCACAATGCTCTGCAAAAGGTCTCTAAAGTAGTCGAAGGCATGTTGAGACATAATCTAGATGTTACTAACAGAGCCGAGGGTGAAATTGGCAATTTAGTAGAACAGGAAATGATGAATGCAGCCAAAGTAATTGAGGCAGCCACTGCAAGAATTCAAGCGTTGATGTTACGACCACGAGATACTGGTCTTTCTGCTACCGAACTAAATGTTCATGATGCAATTCTAGAGTCTGCATTAGCTGTCACGAATGCTATCGCAAATTTAATACGATGCGCTACTGCTTCACAGCAAGAGATAGTTGCACAAGGACGTGGCTCAAGTAGTACTGCTGCTTTTTACAAAAAGAACAATAGATGGACAGAGGGGCTTATCTCCGCAGCAAAAGCTATTGCGGTTGCCACTAATCTCCTTATAGAAATTGCAGATGGGGTCATTCATGGTACTCGTTCTCTCGAACAACTTATCGTCGCTTCAAACGAGGTTGCAGCCGCAACAGCGCAGCTTGTTGCAGCTTCAAGAGTTAAGGCAGATTTTATGTCAAAGACACAGGATCGATTGGAGGCAGCATCAAAAGCCGTCACTGAAGCCTGTAAAGCTCTTGTAAAAGCTGTGAAAGCTATTGCGGCGAAACAAATAGAGGGAGAACCGATTAACTACTTTGAACTGACACCTCATGACTTTAAGGTCAAAGAGATGGAGCAACAAGTGGAGATATTAAAACTTGAGAAAGAATTAACTAATGCTCGAAGAAAATTGGCAGAAATGAGGAAGCATGGATATCACGACGAGGAAGATTAAGTTCTGAATATTTATATAATAATTTGATCGTAAAGTATCATACATATTGAATATATAAGAATTAACCAATTAAAAAATACGAAATTATATTGTAAATCAATTTTTTCCGCCAAATTATAATAAATTATGGTTTTTAATACCGATACTACATAAATCATAATAATACATTGCGGGACATCTTAACCAGCAAGTATAAAAAATAGTGGCCAAATTTTATATACAAAAATCAAGCTATATGATTGGTTAATACAGTAAAAATTAATATTTTTAAATTTTTTTTAGGGAAATTCCAGGTCAAAATGACCCTCAGCATAATTTTAGGGTTAGTGCAGGCCAGAATTATGTTGATGCCGGCCAGGGTTTTTTTAATATAAAAATCCGGCCGGCATTACAGCTAGTGTTCCGCAGAACCGAACCGAAGATCCGGAACCGACCCGGAACCGACCCCCGATTCGGGTCCGGATCCATCAT